AATTGCAAATTACTTTCGTTATACAGTAAAATATAGTAACTTTACTATTTATTAGAAGTGACGGAAGAGTTAATGAAGAGGGATTGAATTTGCGTCTTGAGATGTATTTATTAGGAAGTAAATGAGTAGATTGATTGGTTAGCTAATCATCATAAAGTTTCTTGTTTTGAGTTGCAAGTTTAGGAGAGTTTTTGGAACAGTTAAAAATCGTTACTTTTTAAATATTGAAAGTGTAGTTATGCCTAGATTTGTTTAATTTTTTTTCATTGTAGAAAATATGAGAAAATTATATGATATGTGTAATTCTGTCATTTTCTTGAGGCACTATTGGGCGCCTACCACACGAAAGCTAATTGCTGTGTAGATTGGATGGTAAATTGACTTACACTACAAAAAAAAAAAAAAAAATTACATTTTTTTATGTGCTTGTATTTATCAATTAAATATGAAAGTCGCAATTGATTCTTTCGACGCTAATAAAAGTTAGCTAGAAAATATTGTCCCGTAAACAAGGTTTTTGACAATAGATGTCAAAATTTCTAATGGGATTAACTACTAAAGCTCTAAGTTAAGAACTTAATATACAAGTCTCCATCTCAACAACCCTCCTCCTAGAACCTCCAATTGTCATGATCAAATACTTACCACTACGTCAAAGTTATAGTTATAGTTAGTAATGAACACACAACTTTATTTTCTTATTTATACTTGCGCAACAATACGTAAATGTCACGTTTCAATAGCATACTGCTAAACTTGACCATCAAAACCTCTACCCAACACTCTATTTAATGCTATTTATATTTTCTACCCATTTACATTTATTTTGGGGTAGGCTTTTGTATTTTCTGCATTTGAAATGGGAAAATCTTATCCAATAAGAATTACATTTGTGGATTGCATTATTGGTGTATTTTGAAAATATAGAAATATGCCAAAAGAATTGTTTTTTTTTTTAAATAATAATAAATAAATATGCTTTATTTAAAAAATAGATATTCCAAAAATTAATTTGTGGACTTATCTACAATGATGAGAGATAGAATGTGTAGAAGATAGTACTACGAGGCGAAAGTGATATGCTATACTTTCTAAAAAAATCTAATTTTTTTTCGAAATTAGCATAGTTTAATTTTAATATATATATATATATATATATATATATATATATATATATATATATATATATGGTGTTCCTTGTTGTAAATGGGTGATTTATCCAATGTAATCCATTTGTATTTTATTATTTAAGGTTCCCTCCGCGGGAACCAACAAATTTAATTAATATATTATTACTCCCCCGTCTCATTGTATGTGTCTGGTTCAGTTAACAAGGTTTGACTGAAGTTATTTTTAATTTAAATTTTTATAATATTAAATTTAGTATTAATATACAAAATTTATATATTTAGAAACTACACTAAAAGTGCTATTAAACACAAAAAGAAAAAAATTAAAAATAAGTAAAAAAAAAATACTAAAAAAATAAACAAAGAAGAAAGAGTTGGTTTGACCAATGAATAATAAGTAGGACAGTTAAAATGAGACTGAGGGAGTATTATTATTTCAAAATTACTAGTTTATCACATTTAAAATATTAATTTTTTGTATAAGTGTGACTACATAGGTATGGAGTTTATAGAGTGTGCACTTTCCAGTAGTAATTATAAATTTCTCTCATTATCAAAAGAATTAATTATTAGAAAAATAAACGGAAGCATGGTGGAGACAATTAAACTGAAAAGGATAGATAAAATATTTCTAAATTATAGCGTGCAAATATTTTGAACAGTTGGAACTAAACTTTTTATTTTTATTGTTAGTAAAAAAAAAATAATTTGATTGGTTAAAATTTTTCACAATCATTGTTGTGGGGCTTTTGTTATCCTTTTTTGTGATAAGTCTATCCTATTATTATTTTGCTCCTAAAAAATGTTTAGCCAGTCAATCAACCACTTTATCTTTATTTTGCTCCCAAAAAATATGACTGATTTCTTCCAAAAAAAAAAAAAAAAGAAGAGTGATTCTTCTAACTTGCCAATTCTTCTCAAGATGTTCTCTACAAGCCCAAACCAAGTTACTCCGATCATAATTTAGCAATTAAAATTGTACTTTTCAAAGAATAGAGATGTAGGGTCAAAGTGGGGTGTGGGTTCACTTTCTTATTTATTTATTTATTTATTTATTTCTGAAATTATTTAAGTGGAAATGGGGTCCACTTGCTGTCCAAAGGAAAAATAATAATAATAAAAGCTTGCCCAAAGTTTGACAATAATAATACCTTTATGAAAGCAACCCTCTACCAACTCTTTCTCACAGATTAGATGTTGTAATGGAATAGAGTTTGCTTGTACACTGTGCATTTGATTTCACAGAGTTTTGAGATGTGCTTTCCAAAATTCACAACAAAAAGAGGGCCCTTTAATGGAGTAATTATTTTAAAAAATAAAAAAAATATTAAAAGCTAGTTTGCATGACTTGCCCTTCCTTTTTTACCAATTTGGAAGAAAACCCATAGTGCAATATAAAATTCACCTAAATTATACTTTTTCTGAGAAACAACACGTCAATTTCTAAATTAATAGAAGGGGTCACTTAAAAAAGAATGCCCTATTGCACATTATGTTGGACCCTCATTGGGTGAGAGCAACCCACTATGTCTTTCTTAAGGATCTAGCAAATGGCTGGTACGGGTGTTTTTTTTTTTTTTTTTTTTTTTTTTTTTTTTTTTTTTTTAATTTTTAATTGTGATGTTAAAGCATCCATGGTTTCAAGCATCATATTTACAGATAATTCTAATGGTTCATTTACAAAATTATCTTATGTACTGTACCGCGGAGTGCTATCCTATTACTTTTTTTTTGAATGCTACTAACCTACTGAAACACAAAGAGTTTACTTTTTTTTTTGAATGCTACTAACCTACTGAAACACAAAGAGTTAACAACGTCTCCACTGAGGCTCAAACTTACAACCTTCCAAATGGAAGTCCAACCCGGATACCATTAGACCACATAGTCCTGGTCAGTAATATATAAAACATACATAACTTTTTAGGAATTTCTAACTTATCCAACCCACACATTAATTTGAATTCATAACTTTTTGCTTATTTTGCCTAGCATTCATAGTGATAGGGCTTGTACACTTTAAAAAAATATTACACTGCAATGGTATATGGATGTTGATTTTTTCTTTTTAATGGAATCTTTTCAAGCCTAGTTTCCTAGTCCCTAGAAATCTAGAATGTACGAGAGTCGAGAGAGCTCCACAACAGTTTTATCGAAATGGAAATTATTTATGGATCAAATAGCTAGCCCAAATATCCATATATGTCCCCATCCCAGAGAATTCTCAGCCCAATAATCATAACCCAAATCATCATAGGGCCTAATGGCCCATATCTAGTTTTTTTTTTTTTTTTTTGGTGCAAATGACACTGCCTTTCATCATATTTGGTTAACTAGGCTTCACTCAAATTATTTTTAATTTATTTTTTATAATATTGAGTTTAGTATTAGTGTATAAAATTTATATATTTAGAAATTACATTAAAAATACTATTAAACACACAAAATTAAATTTAAAATAAATTTTTTGACTCAAATTTTAAAAATATTAAAGAAAAATAGTATAACCAATAAAAAACATGACTGGTAAAACATCACTTGCTAAATTTATGATTATGTATTTTATAAAACTATGTTGATTATATATATATATATATATATATAATCACACTTAGGTGCGAATGCTTCGCCCAGGAGCGAAATAGGAATGGATTTTGTTCGTCCATGTGTCCAGATCTAATGGATGAGAAACACTGATTTTTTTTTAAAAAAGCGCGGTGTTATTTTCGTAAATAATTGAACATCGAAGTGCAAGTAAAATGTATTACAAGTGCATGCAAAATGTATTATAGGTGCAAGTAAAAATTTACACAGAGTATCAATACTAAGTGCACCTATAGTTATAAGTAGTTGCACTTATAGTTCTAAGTAGTTGCACTTATAGTTATAAGTAGTTGCACCTAGGTGCATGAATGTTTGCGGGTGATTTTCAGGGTTATTACTACCCGCTGAACTCAGATCAATGAATGTTAAAAAGGCAAAATTACATGCACTTATAGGTGAAAGTAGGTGCACCTATAGTTATAAGTAGTTGCACCTATAGTTATAAGTAGTTGCACCTGTAGTTATAAGCACACCCAAGTGCATGAATGTTTGCGCGAAGTGAATGCTAACAAGACAAAATTACATGCACTTATAGGTGAAAGTAGGTGCACTTGTAAGTGCTTTTACTTGCACTTTGATGTTCAATTATTTATGAAAATGCCACCGTATTTTTTTTAAGCTATTAGATCTGGACACGTGTCGCGCACTTATTCGTTCGCATATTCCTTCCTGGGCACTTATTCGCACCTGAGTGCATATATATATATATATATATATATATATATATATATATATATATATATATATATATATATATATATAGAGGATTATTTTCAAATACAAATCCCCCTTAAAATACAAATCTCACTTAAAATACAAACTGTGTGCATGTAAGTATGTTAACGTGTGCACGAGCTAATCCCAGATATTGTTAGCAGTGTGTCCAGTGTGCGTGTAAATATGTTAATGTGTGCATGAGCTTTGATGGATGGTTGTGATTTTTTCCTTTTACGCGCTGTGTGCATGTAAGTATGTTAACGTGTGTACGAGCTTTGATGGATGGTTGTGATTTTTTATCCTACGTGCTGTGTGCATGTAAGTATGCTAATATGTGCACGAGTTAATCCCACAAATTGTTGGCGGTGCGCCCTGTGTGCATGTAAATATGTTAATGTGTGCATGAGTTCAAGTTTGTATTTTGAGGTGGTTTGTATTTGAATGCAACCATGGTTTGTATTTGAATGCAACCATATATATAAAGGTTACAAAATATTAAGACAACATACACACAATTATAATATTAAACTAATTCAAGACTTTATCAGCCTATATACTATTACTATGATAGTTTAATTAGTAACTGGAAATTCATGGATCTCATCCATCCATGGATTCTTCTCCATTGCTGGATTTATGTTCTTCAAAGCACGCCAAACAGCACTGTTGCATTTGAAACCCGACCCGAATGCAATCTGCCATATTCTGTCACCTTTTGTGATTCTCTCTTTGGCTTCTGTGTAAGCCAATTCATACCATAATGAACTGCTGGAAGTGTTTCCGAATCTGTAGAGCGTCATTCTCGAAGGCTCCATGTGCCATTGGCTGAGCTCTAAGTTCTTTTCTATGGCATCCAGCACCGCCTTCCCGCCGGCGTGGATGCAGAAGTGCTCGAACGCCTTCTTGAAGTCCGGGATGTAGGGCTTCACCTTCTTCATCTTGAACACTTTTCTGGCGACGAGGGTGAGGAAGAAGAGGAGCTGTTCGGACATGGGGAGGACTAAGGGGCCGAGGGTGGTGATGTTGGTCTTCAGGGCGTCGCCGGCCATGGCCATCAGGTCTTTGGAGAGGGCGACGCCGAGTGTGCCGTCGTCGTCCTCCTTTTGCCACACGCAGGAGTGGCTGTTGTCGTGGGCGCCGGTGTGAGTGCGGACGGTGCGCATTACAATAATTTTCAGTTAATAATTAAGGGTTTAGAACCCAACCATTGAAAAAAAAGAAATCTAATTTAAAGATTGAGAATAATGGAAAATTTTAAAAAGTTATGGTAGATAGAATAATATGTTTTCTCTATCTAATATTCTCTATTTTTTTTTCTTTTTTTTTTTGTAAATTCTCATCAATAATTGAAGTGAATGGATACATCATTTTAAAAATATGACTTATAGCATCCCATAACATAAAATAAAAGAAAAGTCTTCTTTTCTTTTTTTTTTTTTTTGAAAGGAAAAGTTATTATTTTTTTAAATATTGAAATTGTAGTGTACGTCCTGCGCCGACACCAATAGTAGTCATCATTTTATTTTTCTTGTTGATTAATTCCTTTCATGTGCCCTCCCTTTATGATGGATATATACCCTGGTGATTGTAACACATACTTTTGACTTCAATAATGTGTTGGCCTAAAAATTATCTTAAATTGACCCATTGTAAGTTTGTAACACATACTTTTGACTTCAATATTGTGTTGGCCTAAAAATTATCTTAAATTGACCCATTGTAAGTTTGTAACACATACTTTTGACTTCAATATTGTGTTGGCCTAAAAATTACTCCGTATCTTAAATTGACACATTTCTTCTACTTTTGTCCAACATTTCTTAAAGCTAAGTATCAAAATATCACATAATAAAACTAATTAAAACTGACATGCGCCTGGGAGATTATTGCTATTGAAACGTTCGCTTACGCCCCTAGCTATACATTTTCGTATAGTGTTAACTGTTTGATCCTCACATATTATTATTTTCATAAAAGACATAAATGTTTGAGACTTTTTTCATCAATAGACTTTTAATTATTAGATTAAAATATCTTTCACTGCGATTTATATCTCCCATGTAGTTTGCAGCTAAAACCCAAGAACGAGATTTACCTAATACACACTCTCAAATAGTGACTGAGGTTTTCAATGGTGTTTCTTCTGTGCATGTTCCAAAGTTGTGGCGTGATAACCTTGGTGTCACGTATATGTGTGCCAATCATATTTTTCATGCGCGTACGAAGCATATTGAGATTGATTATCACTTCGTTCGTGACAAAGTGGGTGTAAGTGACCTCCAGGCCGGGCCGTATTTTAAGTTTTGGTGGCCCTGTTCTGGTAAATAAATGTGGCACTACCAAAATCACAATTTTTAAAATCGATACATGCAAGTTTCGAACCTTTGACCTCCGAGTTAAAATACAATAAATACACATTCTTACCATCTCTTCATGGAATCTTTTAAATTCAATTTAAAACTTTTAATTTTTATTTCTAAACTAGCTAGGTAAAAATTAAATATTGGACCTCTAAAATTTGGGGCCCCTCTAAAATTGGGGGCCCTGTGCGGTAGCCCAGCTTGCACAGCCTAAAATCCGGCCCTGCCTCCAGGTGAATTTTATTTTAACCAAAGATCTGTTGATAGATAATTTTACCAAACCTATTACTGCTCCGCGGTTTGCGTTCTTGCGGGCAAATTATATTATGCACCGCGGTGCATAATCGATTATGCACCGCGCGTCTTTTTTTTTTTTAAATGAAAATTAACAATGTTTATTTCCGCCGTTTCGCACCCTTTTGCAAAAAGTAACTCTGTTATTCAGTGTCATTTTGTATACACTGCAGTTTTAGTTGAACACAACTACAGTTTCATTTCGATATAACTATAGTTTCATTCGATATTTATAGACTCAAATATGTGAAAATGTTATTTAATTTTATTTTATATACACTATAGTTTTATTAAAACACAACTACATGATCATTTTGATATAATTACAGCTTCATTGTACAATATACACTCAAATATGTGAAATGTTATTCAGTTTCAGTTTATATACACTGCAGGTTCATTTCACTATAACTACAGTATCATTTTGATATAACTGCAGTGTCGGTTTGAATATACTGTAGTGTCAGTTGGTGTTTAATATACCAAACAAACGGACTCCGTTAACTCTAACGACGGGCCGTTTCTTTACTTAAAGAAACGGCGCCGTATATAGGCCGCGGTGCATAATCGATTATGCACCGCGGTCTATAATATAACAACTGGTTCTCGCGGGATAAGGTGCAGATTCTTAGTTCAACCTGTAAACGGAATTTTAGGACTTTTATTGTGTGCATAGTTCTCATTGTGATATAACTCTACAGTTTGTATATATTTACTCTTCTTGTATGGATCAAACCAATAATTTCACTATAGCCTAGGGACCGTTTCAGTAATTAACTCTTTTGACTAACATTCATAGTGATAGGGCTTATTATTTATGGATTAAATAGCTAACCCAAAAATCCGGCAAATTATGCTATGGAACTGTGTCTATCTTGCAAGGTGGATACGGTGCTAAAACTATATATAATTATGAATATAAAGTTCAAAAATTATGAACATATAATTCTATAATTATGAACAAAAAGTTTTGAACATAATTATGAACATATAATTCTGTAATTATGAATATAGAGATTCAATCATTATGAACATAGAATTCTGTGAATATAAAGTTCAATAATTATGAATATAAAATTTAAAAATTATGAACCCATAACAATTGCAAAGATCCATATATCCCCATTCCAGAGAATTCTCAGCCCAATAATCATAACCCAAATCATCATAGGGCCTAATGGCACATACTACAAACTTTTTTTTTTTTTTTTTTTAACAGCCTTTCATTACTGAATATGACAAATTATTGTGTGGACAATGGCTACACAATGTTATGTGAATCGTAATAAAAAGTACATTTTTAATATAATGAATGTACATTATTTTTGTATTGAATGTATATTATACAATATAATGTACACTCAGTACAAAAATAATATACATCTCTTGAATACAAACAGTATATAAAATATAGCTCACACAACTTGTGTGGATCATGGTCTACACAATAATGATTGACTGAATATCTTTCAATAAGGCATTACAATAAGAGGAGGACAACTAAACCACTCTGTACGGTGAAGTATAGAAAAAAAAATCATCACTAAGTAATGAACAATCCTGTTTGTTGATCGTTAAACAAAAGTAACTAAGACATTTGACAACTGATTCAAAACATTAACAATATCCAGAACTAAAAGATACTCTTGTGATTGTTCAAAAGATCATATGAAGACAAACTCTAGTTATTTTAGGTGAGCTATGGGTTTGGTTAGCTAGGTAATTACAAGAAGATTATAAATTTGACTTCCAACTAAAGTGACATATTATTTTTTTGGTTAGCTTAAGTCGGTCGAGCTAACTTAAGATGATTTATCTAATTATCAAGTTAGCGACAAACTCAATTGTAGATAGTCTTGCTAATTATACATAATTATTACAAAACACAAAATTAATTTTGATATTAACTTACTTAAATTTAAAATTTTAGATATAAATTAATTCCATTTATGATTCTAGAATTATAAGTTGCATTTTACTTTTAGTTATTTTTTTCAAAACATCTCATGTTGGTCCTAGTATTATTGTGGCATAATCATTGTTTGTTCTTCATTAACAAACAATGTTTAAATGATATTAAATATGAGGGTATTTTGATCTTTTTATACAAGGAGTTGATACGTTATATTTTTAAGAAAAAAATCCTTAATTCATGGGTCAGAGTGTTGTCTTCTTCAAGTGCAATTCACGCTTCCGTAGAACAGTGGTAGATGATAGAACACATATATCCTCAAGAAATCCAAGCTGAAGAAATGTCTTCATATATAAATGCGGTGAACCCACTTTATATATATATATATATATATATATATAAAGATTGAAATTAAATGTCCTCTTATTTAATATCATTTAAACATGTTTGTTGACGGATGACAAAAAATGGTTATATCATAATAATACTAGAACCAACGAGGGATGTTTTGAAAAAAAAAAAAAAAGAGATTAAAAGTGAAATGAAATATGACAAAAAATAAAATTAACTCTTTTAGATATTATCATCACAAAGAATATAACCCAAGAGGGTAGTTCAAGTAGCAAATGAACTCTCTTTGCGGAGGAGAATTTTGGGATAACTCGAGTCTGATTCCCACAAGTGATAATTCCTTTTGGGCGGGCTCCCGTGCGCCCAGAAACTGGACCGTCAAAAGGACAGTAAAATAAAATCATTACTTGTCCGCAGTCGTTAGCCCATACTCTCGCTTTTACCCAGATTAGTGATATTTACTGGCAGTCGTTAGCCCATACTCTCACTTTTACCCAGATTAGTGATATGTACTGGGATTCTATCCATCCTGACTCCCTAGCAAAGATATTTAATACAATAATTACTATACTATATAAATTGGACCATCATAGCTAGGAGGCTATATTATCAATCGTTTTCAATTCAATTACTATACACAAAAAAATACATTTTAGTATGTAAGATTGATTATTTTTTTCTTCTAATAGGGTGGAAAATGAGGAGAGGTAAATCATAATATGAATTTTATATCCAATTTTATCATTCAAATCTCATGCCTCTTAACTTATCTCTCCCTCTCGTAAACTATTTTAATTGAATGATAAAATTATATTTTAGTCATAGTTATTAAATGGTGGAATGATAAAATTTTAAAATAAATGACAGATACTAATACTATATATGATAGTTTAATTAGTAACTGGAAATTCATGGATCTCATCCATCCATGGATTCTTCTCCATTGCTGGATTTATGTTCTTCAAAGCACGCCAAACAGCACTGTTGCATTTGAAACCCGACCCGAATGCAATCTGCCATATTCTGTCACCTTTTGTGATTCTCTCTTTGGCTTCTGTGTAAGCCAATTCATACCATAATGAACTGCTGGAAGTGTTTCCGAATCTGTAGAGCGTCATCCTGGAAGGCTCCATGTGCCATTCTGTGAGCTCTAAGTTCTTTTCTATGGCGTCCAGCACCGCCTTCCCGCCGGCGTGGATGCAGAAGTGCTCGAACGCCTTCTTGAAGTCCGGGATGTAGGGCTTCA